ACGCAGTATTGTAAACTAGATTTTTAAAAGATGTCCACTCTTCGATCACAAGAGCAAAAACGTAAAACTGTATTTAAAGCAGTATTAAATTCTCCCTATACGGTAAAATGGTAAGTTAATAATATTTCATGTTTTTACTCGACCAAAATTCATTTATATGTCAACTGTTTAGGCCTGAAGTTTCTTTGGAAGATCAACAAATTATACTGGAAGAGCTCTGCGAGTAAGGCGCTTTTCATAAGTTGAAATATTTAACAGGCTTACATTCTTTTATTTGATACACTGAACCACTGAACCGTGTTGTTTAGCCTTTTGTCAGCTGTAGGCGATTACAAGCGGAAAAAGGTTACATACAGGAGAAATCTCAGATTAAACCGTCGTAAAGGTGTGACAATTGATGATGAAACAGTAACATCTAGCAAATCGATTGCCTTACCACCTCCTCCACCAATCTTATCACACATCGTAATTGGAATTAACGATGTAACAAGACACCTTGAACAAACTATTAGTCCTAACATTAAAACAAATTTTAAACGCAAATATGCGCAAGGGTTTTTGGATCCATTAATCTCAACAAATACTAATAATCAACTCACGAATCCTTCGCCCATTGTAATACAAAATGAACATTTAACATCTCTACGAATGATTTTTGTTTGTAAAGCTGATATATCACCACCTCATTTATGTGCGCATCTGCCAATCATGTCTTCCATAGCTAGAGATGTATTACTTGTTCCATTACCCTCGGGAGCTGAGGAATTGATTAGTAACAAACTTGGTATAAGGAGAGCGTCGTGTATTGGTGTAAAGGTAAGATAACATTATATCTGTAATTTAATGAGTTGACATAAATTAAGGTTTTTTTTTTGGTTGTATAAAGATAAAAACGCCTGAATTTGATGGAATCTATAAATTGGCCAAGGACAAAGTAGGTCCTGTTAACGCTCCATGGTTGGTCCCGTTCAAATCAGAATTTTCAAAAAAGCGAAAAGGTATTGAGGAAGATGAAATTATACCATCGGCTAGTATAGCTGATGATTTTATGAAGACAGCTTGTAATGAATATGTGCCAACTCAAATTAAACAACTTATAACATCCGCCCCAGTAAAGTCCAAGATGAAGCAAAAAAAAAATAAAGGGACAAACAAAAGCTACTGAAATAAAAAAAACTTGAGTAATAATATATAGATCAATAATCGATATAGACACATCAGACTGCCATTATGAAAATGTATTATTTTAATGTCACATTATAATTGCATTTGCAAACTACATTTAAATAACTGGTTTCTTGTATCAAAGTCTCGGAGGTGTATCACCAACTTTTGTTGGTATATATGTGGCCTGCTTTTCATGCGAATCGACTATGGACGGTAAAGTAAAGTCCCTGGCCTCTTTCAGATAATACTGCAGCAAAGCATCTCTACCGGCCTGTGCGAATTCGTAGATCAATGTATTTGTAAATCGGATGAAATATAAAATGAGTAAATTTATAAACTTACTCTGAATGCCGCCATCTTAATACTACTTCCAAATCCCTCACCTAATTGTTCTGTACCCGAATATACACCAATAACAAATGCGGGCGCATATGATAATCGACCAGTTTCGGACTTTAATCTACGTATTAACACGAAATTAGATTGTGATCACGTGGATATCTATTGAGTAAATTAAACATACCTAGAAATCGGGGATGGTTTGTTTAATCGTTTCATCAATGCTGACAGTTCTCTTTTTGGTTCCTTAATTTCAATAGCATCTTTCATATTAACATCTCTAGATAATATATGGTCGTGAATAAATTGTCGTGCTGAGTGCGGACCCTTTGACAAATAAGATTAAAGTTCATAAACAACGTGCACAATCTGAGTCTATATATTCAGATTTAAACATAAACTAATAAAGTGCACATACTTTGTCCATATATAAGGCGCCGACAATAGCCTTAAGTGCATGAGATATTGCGGTGCCTTGTGTAATCCTTTGTACAGGTTCTTTAGACTTACCAACAAATTTTTTTTTACTTGGAATATCTTTATCTTGAAGGAATAATTCTTCATCTGTAAACTATTAGAATCCTCTGTAAGATAAAAAAAAAAAAAAAACTACGCTATTACCAACAAAATAGATTATAGTTCATATTTAAACTTACATTGTTCCATCTAACGACATACTGTAAACCAACTTCTTGTCCTATGACCGTTAAAGTTAAGTGACCACAGTAAGCCGTGACGGCTTGTTGTAAACACGGCAATGGCAAGAGAGGGTATTTGAGGTGAAAATATTCG